AGGAAGGAAGGAAGGAAGGAAGGGAGGAAGGAAGGAAGGAAGGAAGGAAGGAAGGAAGGAAGGAAGGAAGGAAGGAAGGAAGGAGAGAGACATCACGATCAGAATAGCCCTGACTGGTGTCATTGGCCATGCTACCTTGCTGATGCTCCGTGACAAAGCGGGGTGACTCTTGGGAAGGCTGTGTCATCCTCAGACAGCCTGGCCTTCAGTCGGACTCTCGCTGGCTTGAAAAAGAAAGCGAAGCTGACCCAAAGCTTCCTTCCCACTTCGGAGATGGTTGTTGGGAAGGTGGGAAGGAAGAGGAGGAAGAAAAGAGAGAATCTCTCTGAATTGCAATTCTTCGGATTGCAAACATGGCGTAGGAAATGGTATAGGCCCTCCACCCAGACAGAGGGAAAAAGAACAATGTGCTGCTGTTGCTGTTGTTATTATATTTAAGAAATCAAAATTAATAGTGCTTTGTGCTAATTCCAGACAGTTGGAGGGGAAAGGGAACTGGGCAATAACAATGCAAGGCTTGTCCTATTTTAACTAAGATTTTGGAGTGCCTTAAATGTGTTCTAGCTTTGGTCTGGATCTTAGCTGCAAATATAATCTGAAAAGAAAACTGTTCTCTCCTCCCATCCTTAACGGCCTGGAGCACTTTATAACCAGGGGCAAGCACCTTCTGAGTCTGAATGCAAAAGAGGAGTGACTCTCAAAAAACTCTCCTACTGAATCCAGAATTTAAACAAACCAGTAATTTCACGCCTGATTCTAGCGCTGGTTATACTGGGTAGAAAACATATGTGGGCGAGGGAAAAGGAAGTTTCTAATATTAGCCTAGGATTTGTTTTGGTTCCTCTTACTAAAATGTCACCGCAGATTACTGGATCAAATATTATCATGGTATGTTCACTGACAGTTTAATGATTTCCAATTTTATGTTGCAACGATAATTTTGCGATGGGTTCATCTAAGACAGCAATTTTCCCATCCGTTTTATTCGATTCCCTTTCAGTAATCCATATTTGGAGAGAACGCGGGAATTCATTACAACCCAACTATCTTATCCCCCCCCCCCGAAGAAAATTGCGCTTAGGTTTTGTTTTGTAATAAAGCCATGCCTTACTTAAAGTATCCATGTCTCTGTGGGAATTGGGGAGCTTAAAACACACATACACCAGCCAGTTTTCTTTTCATTCGAAAGAAAACAACAGCAAGGAAACCGGGTTTGGAACTAGGGTTTCTTGGAAAAACGCTCCGTTTGAATCAGCAAAATCTACTTTTAAGTGAAAGCAGTTGCACTGAAATCAAGGGGAACTTCCAATGGCATATTTTTTATAGGTATCAGGTTGCAGACAGTTTGATTTTGCTGGGGTTTCAGTTGCGGTGAGAATTGCGTGTGCAATTTTTTTTTTAAAATAATAAATACAGGTTATTTTACTATCCGAGCAGCTAAGAGATCTCTGGCCCATTTTAAGAAAGACTGTTGTCAGGTAGTTTTAAAAAACACTTAACAGGAACACCTCCCTCTTTATTGGGGGTCGGCTATTCCCAAAGCCGGTAAATCTGATCCGTTTTAAGGGAGGGCATTGATCTTAGAGGGAGGCAAGCGGCGTCACGTTAGGGTGCGTGCTTTGACAATGGAATAGTGAGCGGCCTTGCAAAGACACCTTCGTGGACACGGAGCGAGGAGGCTAATAAAGTTCCTTGAAAATAATTTTGATCATAGGAAAGGCCATTTAAAATTTTTCCCCTGCTGCCGCAGTTAGTCATTGATATAAGGACGGCAGCTTGGTACGGAAGACATGCTAAGTTGAGGGCGAGAATTATTTAAACATAAGTATCTCGGCGGGATTTTAAAACCTAGCAGTCGGTGGTTTGCGTAGACCCTGTGTAGGTGAAAAAATCAGACAAATAAAAACGTTATGCCCCACTACATTTTCTTTATAGGTTTAGGGCTGTTTGCTTGAAGGGATATTTCCCCATATAGTAAAAAAAAAATCCAAAGAAAACGGCAGCCATAGTCATTTCTGAACATTTCTCAATTTAATTATGCTCAAATCCAGAAGCACTTTAGGCAAGTTACAAATGAGAGCATTGAGTACAATAAAACCTGTAATAAAGCAACTTCGTACCATCCACCCGGAATCATTGAGATCAGGCACAATTAACAGGAGCATAAATCCAAGGCAGAATGGAAAATGTTAGACTTGGTATTATTGTTGGACGGAGACTAGAGAGGGAAAGGAAGGGGGCTTGGGGGTCTCCATAGGAGCATGTGTGCGCGCGCGCGCACCTGCGCTAAATAGTAGTGCCGAAGTTCGGTAGCGCGAGGGGAAATTCTCTAGCTCAGCAGCGTTAGTGCTAATTTGTAAACACAGACAGACACATTAGATTGACTGTCAGTTTGGGAATTAGAAAACACGATTTTCATTTTACTTTCTAATCACGTCTGAAATTCAAGCGCGCGCCACACCCGCGTGCACGGAGTACCAAGCCTTCCAGAGGAGAATTTAAAAGCAGCGGCAAACGCTGCCTGGGACCAGAGGGGAGCCAGAATTGCTACGGGTCTCAGAAGCTCAGAGGGAGTTGGTTATCTTCCCTTCCTCTAACACGTGCACTGGAATGGATTTTTCTTCATTCCTGCCACTGGCTATGGCTTTCTGGACATTTCTCCCTGTACTCTCTATCCAGAGGTGGCACAAAAACATTCTTCTAGAATCTTATTACTGCGTTAACCACTGTTTAAAAATAACACAAAAGGATACGAAAGCTGTCCCCTAAAATGCTTATTTCAGAGTAAGTGGCATTGATAGAAATTCAGCTTAAGGCAACATGCATTAAGAAGCACTGCAAGATGGATAATGTATACACGTGTACTTAGGAGTTACCCTATTAATGCGGAGGGCCTGAATTATGAGTATGTTCAGGCATTCTGAACTGAAGGTAATTCCTTTTGAAATCAGTGGGACCTACTTCTGAGTAGATGCCACTAAAGATGGGCTCTCCCCAAACCTAGCCATTTCTGCTTTCCAAAGGAACCCAGTATTTACTTTTTAAATTCTAAAAGGTCAATATATGGAAATGAAACATTATCCTGTTTTTAAAAACACCAATCTAGTTAAGATATGGAGAAAGAAAGAGCTTCGCAGGTTTCTCTTGGTGTGTTTATAGAAATTCATATCCTTCTGTATTGCTTTTGTTGCAGCACGTAGAGGACCCCGGTATTAACATCCCAGATCAAACTGTAATTAAGAAAGGTAAGCCACTTCTTTAGCATTCCAAGCATGTCCTCACAAGCTTGATACTGAAGCTGAGAGAACTTACTAAAGCTATTGTTTCTCTCCCCTGCCCCCTCCCCGTAATTTACAACAGAGCTGAAAATGGAAAACGAAATTGACAATCTTGGTTGATAACCCTCTTTCACTTAATCGCAGCCTCTGTATATGTATGATTATATTATCGAGCTAAACAGACCCATGTTTTAGCTGTTCCTAATGACATTGTGGTTCAGAACTGACTTCTAATTTCTCTAGTTGCCTTGAAAGTATGTTTCATTACCTAAGAAAGCGCCAATCCTGTTCAGCCCCCCCCCCACCTCTCCCCCCCCGGCCTCCATCCCTCCTCCCCGGCTTCAGGTTGAGGAGATTGTTCTGGATTGTTTACATCAGAGGGCTTTGTTGTAACAAGCGAGCAAGGATGGCGGAAGGGCCCTCGCTCGCTTAGTGTGCTCTCTGCAACGGGGGCTGCGGCTCGCTTTCCGTGCGATTTCAGCCGCTTCCACCTAATGTCTTGCTGCACTTGTTTTTTGCCTGGAAGACAGCGTCCTCTCCTCTCCTCTCCCAAACCGTGTGCGGCTTCGGGATTTCGTTGTTGTTTAAAGGTGTTCGCGATGTTGGCAGCGGAGCAGAATGGTTGGCTTTACTTTTAAACCCTGTTCAGGGAAATGCTGGATTATGACCATTTGATAGGAAAGGTTTGGGAATGGATCTGTATTTCCGTTTGCTCTAGTGGAGTGACTGGCTCTCTTAGACATTATCAGGGTCTTGTGCTCTACAAAACGGTTCTCCCTTGAAAACCTCAGCGCTACACAATGAAAGCTAAAATTTCACCCCTCCTCCCAGTCTGGAGAGTCTTTGTCACGTCAAATTAGATGTGCAAGGAATAAATCTTAAAGTGATGCTCTTTCCAAGTCGACATGATAATTGGCTCTTTTATTAGTAATCTCAAGAGTTCGTTTAACTCCTATTGTCTCTATTAGCCTCCCCAGAGCTATTAATGTCACAAGTGATCTATCCAAAACCTAGATATCCCTCCTCCACGCTCCACCCTTTAACATTTGGATTAGACCTACTAAAGTGAAAATGCAAAGTATACGAGCGTAGGATGAAGGACAAGAGGAATAAACAGATGCTGATAAAAGAGTAAATATTTATAGTGTAACCAGGTTGGGACGTTAATGCCTCCAAACGTCCATTGCCTCCAAACAAGACTGCCCTTATTTTTCAGTGATGTTAGCCAAGCTGGAACATGCAAAAAGGTTTGGGAGAATTTTATCCTTGTCCTGCATGTTTTTCAACAATGCCCTGGAACTTTCTGTCATTTGGGGAAAAAAAGAAGGCTGTGTCAAGGAAGTTTCTTTCTTTTCTTCTGGAGAAGCAGATGGTAGTAAGGAGCTAGGCAAAAAAATGTGTCCATTTCTCTTTATTTTGTTTGGGGACGATTGTTATTTAAAGAAAAGATTGTACAGTTATCTTAGAAAACAGTAATGAAAATACCTCTTTGGTGCCTCTCTTTCCAATATAAAAAGTTGCAATTGCAGAAATTGTGACATCTAATCCAATTACTTTGAAACTATTCAATTGGAAGTAGTAGGAGCTACTCTAGTACAAATTAAGCCCATAGTCATGTAGCTTGTAGCATTACATTCTCCAAAACAAGCTAAAGGTATATTAGGTGGACATCCTTTATAAATATTAGTAGCAGTGAATATGTCTCCTTCCTGTAATCTTTTCAGTATTCTTAACGCTTTAATACCGTGTATCCTCAATCCTACTAGCGAACTCAATAGGTCTCCGTTGCTGTTGCTACTAGAATAACTTAGGACAGGAGAGGCAATTTTAACCCCACCTCTTCTCCCCGCCCCGTGGAAAATACTTAATTTTGATCCAATCCCGATTTAGACTGGTCCTTCATTGGGGGCTGGGAACTAACCAATCCAGATGCTTAGACTTGTTTGTGTGCTTCTGCCTGAAAAGCTTCGCTTACTTTTTAAATTAGCCAAAGTACATAGGGCTAGACTAGATTTTTAAGCAAGGTTTTGTAACTCCCTTGAGCTTTCCCTTTCTCTCTCATTTTTCCTCTCAAAAAGTGAAAATTTAAAATTGGGGTTCTCTCCAAGGGTCAACTGTGGCTAAGTCAAGTAATGTAGTCATTACCAGGTTACTGCGTGGAAATTAGCAGCAAGCAAAGAGCCTGTGGCTTGTATTCCACCCCCCCCCCCCCCCCCCCCC